GGTCAGAATAAAGTAATAATTTGCACATAGCTACACAATTTGTGTCTGACTTTTTAGTGAAAGCTCAATGTTCCAATGGGATTTTCTAAAAAAAAAGGATTTAACATGTTGGCGTAATGCGGACGAGCAATTTTTGTGTAGCTTTACTGCGCTCACGTGAGCCATTGACATCAGGTTTTCCTGTAGTTGTCCCTGCAGACCTCAAGAAAAAACCTCAAATTTACCTGAGTTTAAACCCCCCCCCCCCAAATACATTAAAGAATTCTTTCACGGCATTGGTGCATGAGGCATTTGGAAGGAGACCCATTTGCGTTTTTACAGACCAAGTCGGCACTTGACGGGTTATGTGGTCAACATTACATCAGTCATTGTGGCTTTCACAGCAGTTTTCTGGTACCAATTTAAGGCTGGGTCGACCTGAGATTCAAAGTCAATATTTTACCAAATCCACCTCGATGCGGATTCAACCCCAAGAACTTTTGGCCCGGAGGCAAATGTCTAACCCCTTGGGCTATCTCTGCTCCCTCTGACTGAGGAAGATGCACACTTGTCACAAATTTCTAGTGTTTATTCTTGTGCCATTTTATGTCATCTGTACATTATGTTTGTTTATGTCGTTATTTGATAAAAGGTATCAGTTTTACATAAGTTTAAACAATGGTTTCTGTCTTCTTTGTATTATTCTGCACTTGCCCTTAAAATGGCAGTGGACAGGTTGTGGTTTACAGCAAGGCTGTGATATTGGTGCCTTTTAGCTAAACACATCAAATTGTAGAAAATCCTGATTTAGTCACCTTTTAGGACATGCTTGTTAAGGTGCAGTGAGTGTTTATCCCCCCCACCCCCCCGTGTGGGTTCCTGGGTCCCTTTTAGGGATACACGAAAGAAGACATCCACCCCCCCCCCCAAGCATGTCCTACAAGGTGACTAGGTTGTTTCTTCAAAGTTGTAGTGCATCCACCTGAGAGATGAGAAACCATCAGTCTGCACACAAGCAAGCCGGATCTGTGCACACAAATCTCAAATTCAGGAATTAAACTAAAGTTTCACAAGTGGATAAACAACCAGAACTTTCTGCAAGAGTTGACAGCCAGTGAATGCGAAGAAGATGAAATGTTTTGTGTGGTAGCAGGCACACATGTGCGTACATATATATTTAGGAATGGGCCCTCTGTGGACAGGAGAGACATCATCAATGCCATACGAGGGACTAAACGCTGTGAAGCTTTCAGTTTCATAGAAAAATAATTTTCACTCAATAGACTGCATACCATGGGGGTACTGATTGGAGCCGTGAGACAAGAAAACCATGCGGGAGCCACCTTACATCAGCCAGAACAGATGGGAGTTGCTAGACTGAAAACTAGGGCTGTACCGAATATTCGCTTCGGGGCCGAATAGTGGACCTAATAACTATTTGGTATTCGGCCGAATAGTTGCGGTCGGGTCGAATAGGAATAATGGTTACCTTACTCCCGTTTTTGCATACACTGTGATGGACTGAAATAACTGCCTCATTAACACAATAGTTGCTGTTGCCTAAGTCTGTCGTAGCGGGGGAAACTGCAACCCGGTTGCGTGGTACAAACTACATAAAATGCCAACCGCAGTGTGTGTGTGTGTGTGAGAGAGAGAGAGAGAGAGAGAGAGAGAGAGAGAGAGAGAGAGAGAGAGAGAGAGATCATGCATTTTTCGTTCTTTGAGGGTCTCTTCGCCCAAATCAAATTTGAAGATATTGCTTATAAGAATATAAAGGTGCGTTTAAATTACATTAAATGAACGGCTGAGCGAACGATGGCTTTGAATGAGGCGGGAGCCCGAAGACAACTAATCACAGATATCAGAATGAGTCAGTCGTTATTTTTCAGCCATGTTATGAGAAGAGGAAAAATGGAACATTTGGTGACCACTGGAAAGATCTGTGGAAGGAGGGATAGAGGAAGACAACGAGAGAAGATTCTTGACAATCTTGTTGCATGGTATGGAGGTGTGTCAGCACACGAACTAATACATGCAGGAGATTGCAGATTGTGGAGAGGCATGATCGCCCACGCCAGTCGGCAAGGCACCTGATGAAGATGATACACTATTCGTATTCGGCCGAATAGTTGGTCCCACTATTCATATTCGGCCGGATAGTGAAAATCACTATTCGGTACAACCCTACTGAAAACACTTGGAGACAGACCCAGGAGGAGATTGGAGCACTTATGGTCATGTCTGATGTGCGATGATGACCTCTAACATGAACTATGAACCATTTTTACTGGGAGGCTAAGAGCGACCTAGAGTCTGCTGGGATGACAACCTCCGACACTCCCTGACTGACAGAAGACTGGAATGGAACAAAGCCAGGGAAAAAACTGCTGACAGAGAAGCCTGGCGATCTCTCTGGCAAACCTCTACGCCCCAAGGTAGAAGAGGAGCGTCAAAGTAAGTAAGTACATACTCCCCCCGATGCAACACAATTCATGTCACCCTGTTCCTACCAATTCCCCCGCAATACCTGTATTATTTATGTCCGACTTGCACACATCTTTACACAACCCTGTATAAACAGACACACAAAAAGCAATACTCTGTTATCAAAATAACAAGAACAAGCTTAATGGTGTATAAATGTATATTTTATTTCTGTTCCGAAAAATATTTTCTACCCTGGCCTGTGCTGTTTCAGAGAACAAACAAAAACTCGAAAATGGCTTGTTCCGATAAACTGACCAGCGTGCCAGGTAGGTTTTAGGGAAAGCAGAAAACCAGGTGGCAGCAGCAGGACCAATTCAAACCAAACATTGTCATTTTACATAAATGGCATTATTTTTTGTTTGAAATATTGCATTTCAGTAATTCTAACAGTCACACAAGAGACAACAGCGCATTAAAAACAAATTATCAACAATCCATGATAAAAATTCCTGTAAACAAATATCACAATTTGATCTAATCTGTATTGAACCCATTCACCACAATTAAAAAGTGTTACTCCTTAACCACCTATTATTTAAAAAAAAAATATTGTTACATCATTTCTAACATTGCCGTAGCTACCAGAAACATTTCATGGGCTTAAAAAAATACAAGTTTCTTGGTTGTCATGTTGTGCACAGGGTAACATTTATATTTAACCCTTTCGCCCTGGGGTGGGGTGGGGGGGAGGGGGGTGGGTAAATGGCTTGTTTAAAGCGAAGCTGCTGATGTCAAGAGTTTCCTGTAAACCTCAGTGATAGAGGTTATGGGGTCACGGCACGAATCACCGGATACATGTACTTTTTTGAGGCTACAGGGGATGTACTGCACTTAACGACTTTCCTGACCAGCAATCCGAGGCATTACCGTCTCCCAATACCAAGGATGTTTCCAGGAATTATCATCTTCAGCGCAATACTCACAGGCGAACTCAGAATCATCAATAATATGGGTCTGGTTCTCACTATGAGAAATGACAAAAAGGCTAAATATGCACTAGTCATGACAGTTAGCAAATTTTCCCTGAAAACAACGCTTGAATCTGGTCAGAGAGGTATTATTCTTGGAATAATAAACATACGTGGATGAAGCTCAGTTTGAAAACTATGGGTATCGCAGACTACGTGTCATGAAATCGACGACTGTTAGGTTGGTCACAAGGGGATATGACTGGAAATTCGACGATTGTCGAAGTTGGTCACCAAAGTGTTAATGCTTCACCCTATTTGTGTTTAATGATTACTTCTTTCATATGTCTTTATATTTCACATTTTTAATTTTTTTTTTTTAAATATAGACAGTTAATTGGTTTATCATCAATGGACTCATACATATCCATAGGTGCTCAGATACTCCCGTCAGCATGAACCCCAGTGTCCTGTGGCTAATAGTACCAGTTCTATGTTGATTAACAAGTTCTCTGACGTGACTGGTGTGCGACTCACTTTTTGCTATACCGATCTCAACTCCCAAGTCTATAATTCTGGCAAATGATGTAGATTAACTGCCCCCAAAGTCCTCCGTCCTTCCCATTTCTTAGAGGGCATTAATAACATCAGTATGATTCACTGGTTGACCGTTGGTAAAGAACATTATAAATAAATTTATTTTTCTTCTTCTTCTGCCTATCTAACCTCAAATGGAGCATAGGCCCTCAACCAACTCACGCCAAGTGGTTCTATCCTTCGCTAGTTCCCTCCGTGTCCTCCCATCTTTTTTAACGTTACTCTCTAGCTCTCTTCTCCATGTTTTTTAGGGTCTTCCTTTATTTCTATACCCCTACAGGTTTTAGTAGAAATACATTCTAGCTATATTTGTCCGAGGTTTTCTCAAAGTGGGTCCTATCCAACTCCATCCAACTTTTGCCACAGTTTAGCCAGTGGATGTGTAGATAAAAAAAGGGGGGGGGGGGGAGAGAACAGACCACTGCCCCTTAACCACCATAACTAACTAGCAGTTTGGTGAAATCACATACTCTGAGCCAAATGGCGCAGAATCAGAGCCAAGCTGTAAACCACAACACAGTGTGGAAACTGCCCTTTCAGGCCAAATCCAGAAGGACCTGTCTTGCACAATGAGCGGACAAGGTAATGTCCTGTTCTGTTTTGCTACAAGTCCGAAAACATCCAAGGCATATCCTACCGTGGTATGTACAACATCAGGGAAGCATGGTTTTATCACAAATAAATATTCTCAACATAAAACAAGTCTGCATCACCACAACAAGAAATAACAATACAGGATTTGTCACAAACTTAAACTGATATGTCTTCATCTTTCTCTACTCTGATTCAGTTTCCATCTATTGCTCCTCTACCCTGTAAATGTTTTTTCCTTCTCCGTCTACTGCCAACTTACTGTTGCAAAATCTGTTTCCTTCCCCACAAGTGGATTCCAGGATTCTGTTTTTTATGGTAAAAAAAATAAATCAATAGGCACACTGCCCAAAAGGCAAGTCATTAAAAGCGAATAATGAAAGATTTGCTGAAATCACATGTGTTGGCCCGAACAGCACAATCACAGCCTAGCTATAAATGACAACATCACACGCCAACAACCCTTTTAAGGGCGAATGTGGAAGTTTTCTTCTCCTGCCATCTTCCTCTATAGACAGACACAGTCTATTGTCATCTCCCTCCACCCACCAGACAGAAACATTCTGTTGCTATCTCAATCCACCTACCACAGACAGACACATTCTGTTGTCATCTCCCTCCACCCACCACAGACAGACACATTATGTTGTTATCTCACTCCAACCACAATATCTAGACACATTCTGTTGTCATCTCCCTCCACCCACCACAGACAGACACATTATGTTGTTATCTTACTCCAACCACCATATCTAGACACATTCTATTGTTAACTACCTCCACCCACCACAGGCACAATATATTGTCATCGCCTCCACCCGCCAGTCAGACAGACACGGTCTGTTGCCATCTTCCTCCACCCACCACAGACACAATATATTGTCATCGCCTCCACCCGCCAGTCAGACAGACACGGTCTGTTGCCATCTCCATCCACCCACCACAGACACAATATATTGTCATCGCCTCCACCCGCCAGTCAGACAGACACGGTCTGTTGCCATCTCCATCCACCCTCCAGTCAGACAGACATTGCCATAGTCTCCCTCCACCCGCCAGTCAGAGACACATTCTGCTTTCTATGCAAGCTAAATCAAGACAAGACTAAACATATGTCTGTCTGACAACTTCTGCCCACATTACTCTTGGAGATCAGCCAAATATGCCTAGAGTGACCTCCCTTCTACACAGGAAAACAGAGTGATCAGCTACTGCGGAACTATGTCTTACAGCCAAATGTGCTTTTTATAAGCTTTTATCAAAGTTGGGTTTTGTTTAACCCCTAGATACAGAAGAAAATCTCTTTCACATATTTGGCAAAAACCTATGAGAAGGATGAAAGACTAGTTTCATTTAAATATTTAAAAAAAAAAAAAAAAAACTTGACACAACTTGGAATATTCTATAATAATCACTTCACAAGCATGGAATACTCTAAAACACAGCATAAACACTGAATATTTTGCATTAATCACTCGACAAACATGGAATTTTCTATATTAACCACTCCACAAACACAGACAAATCTACAATAGCTACACCACAAACACAGAATATTATTCAATAACCACTCCATAAACACATACAATTCTAAATGAACCACCCCCATAAACATAGAATATTCTACAATATCCACTTGACAAACATGGAAATTCTACAATATCCACTCCACACAAGCAAAAGAAGCTGTCAGTAACATACAACACTGAAAGGATTCCACTCCACACAAGCAAAAGAAGCTGTCAGTAACATACAACACTGAAAGGATTCCACTCCACACAACCAAAAGAAGCTGTCAGTAACATACAACACTGAAAGGATTCCACACCATACAAGCAAAAGAAGCTGTCAGTAACATACAACACTGAAAGGATTCCACACCACACAAGCAAAAGAAGCTGTCAGTAACATACAACACTGAAAGGATTCCACACCACACAAGCAAAAGAAGCTGTCAGTAACATACAACACTGAAAGGATTCCACTCCACACAAGCAAAAGAAGCTGTAAGTAACATACAACACTGAAAGGATTCCACTCCACACAAGCAAAAGAAGCTGTCAGTAACATACAACACTGACAGGATTCCACACCACACAAGCAAAAGAAGCTGTCAGTAACATACAACACTGAAAGGGTTTCACACCACAAATCAAATCAGCACAAAATAATTCTCTCTAAAACAGAAAATGGAATAAGAGAAAAAAATCATGTTATAAATGATAATTTTATCTAAATAATCCCTGGAACAGCAACACCTCCTGGTGTTTATGTAGAATTTCATCTATATGTTTATTATATGCAAGTTAAGACTATACCTAATTTTGTTTTCAAAGTAAAAGATCCCTTTCATGCCTTTGAGGCATCTGGCATAATGACCAAAAAGTGTTTTAATATGGCACTTGGAACAGAGTCTCTCTTGAAAGTATCAGAGGCGCATCACATATTTTATTACAAGTTCATAGTGCCAGCAATCTGTAGGCTGTATGTAGATAATTCCATATCAGTTTGTATCTGCAACTTCGTTATAAGTCAGTTCAACTACCCTTTTATGTGTACACAATCTCATCTACAATGTATATGTGTGAACTACTATTGTGTATTAATTTCATCTACAATTTTAAATGAAAACAATTGTAAATGAATGTATTTTGTATTGTATACCATTTCATCCACAATTTTATTTGTATACAATTTTCATTTAAATGTTTATTTGTATGCACATAACTTCACCCATATGTTGAATGATATTCACGGTTTCATTTGCACGGTCATATATCCATAAACTCCATCCTCCATGAAGCACAGTTAACTGATTACCCACAAGACTGACTGCACAAAAACAGGTAGCACACATATATCCATCTCAGACATACCTACATAACAGGCAACATAAATGCATAATTATGGCACAAGATACAGACATTGAATGCAAACAGAAGGAAACTGGAAAAAAAAAAATGGCAGGTTTAGAATATATATATGGTGCCACTTTTCCCCACGTACTAAAAATATAAAATGTAAAAACAAACACAATGTACAGAAAGCAAACTTTGAAAATATACGGTATGAAGGTTTTCTGAAGATTTAAACAATGTAAAACAAATTACAAATATAGATTAAAGGGAAGGAAATCAGGATTAAAAACATGCCTACGTATAAATATGTACAGAGAGTGATACATAATCGTATGTTTCAAACAGCTGTTAGAAGCGCTGGCACAGAATCAACATGCAGCAAGTCATTTGCAAACTGTCAGTAATGTCAGAACTTGTTATAAAGATTCCAGATGCGCCGTAAAATCCAGTGCCCCTTGCAATTGTATGCCAGGTTGTCTTTATCTGTAACTTTCTTTGCTAATAAACGCCACCACAAGTAATCAGCTATTATCTACGTGCATCAAGAAATGCATGCAATGTTATTACAATATCTTGTAGATTTGGTCTAAAGATGCTAAAGAAATCTGGCAAGACACTGTAACATTCAGCCATATCAGATGTTGCCAGCTGGAAAGGCCATGCACTGAGACATCTTGTTAACTCATTTCCTTAGAAGTCATAAGGTAGCAGCAGAAAAGAAAGGAATACACAACAAGAAGGAATCAAAGACAGAGATGTGTAAGATGGGACAGAGATGTGTAATATGGGAAAGTCATGGAATCAACTATCAACATCACAACATCATGCTGTAACACATAGGGCTCCCAGTCTAGTCCTCTATTCTCTTCTATCCTGTGCAATCCTTTCAATATGGACGGAATCTAGTCCGTGACATCTGGCCTCTCTCACCAACGTTCTTCTTGGCGTTTCCTTTGCATGATCTTATTTCTTCAGAACATTTGCTTCTTATTTCAATTTCTTTGTCCGCTTTTTGTCTTATAACTGTTGATTCAAACATTTGTCTTATTTCTCCGCCTATTTTGAAACCAGGGTCTATGGTTTAGGCGCTTGCAATCATGCTTTCTTATTCCGAGATACTGGTTCAATTCTCAATGCAGGCAATTTCTTTCCATGAGGATTAAAGTATATGAGACAGCATATGCATATGAGACAGAGTTTACTGCTTGGTGCAACCCTGTGAGCTGTGTTTTTCCCGTGGAATGCCTTTCATTTGTGCAGCGGTTGTGTCATGGCATTCAATATGGCTGGTAGCCGTTTGTAATGATCCTAGGTGTGAATATCGTGTCCGACTACTTTCATCAACGACAAACTGCATTTCTGGTGGCGACTGTTGGCTTTGGTGCCTCTAGCAACTGAAATATGCAATTACTGTATGCGCTTGTTTCTGGTTGTTCCGGGACCAATTGTTTGTTCGCCAGTTTTTCAAATGTGACGGTGAGGGACATTTGATTTTCACTAGCACGGGAACAGAGCAAGTCTGGGGAAACCCGATTGCAGTCAAGTTGAAAACTAGACTAAGACAGCGATGGACGGGTGAGCTTACTATCAGTTAGCCAGGGACTAATGCTCTCTGGCCAAGCAAAGGCAGACAGAAAACATATATCGCTGGCACTACGGCCAAATCACTTTATTGCAAAATCCTTGTTTCGAGAAAACTAAACACAGAGATCTCTATAAAAAGATCGTGTAGCTGCATGAAAAGCACTACAGGGTCTCCTTAACTTGGGCCTGGAGTTCCGTTTCAACTCACACACTGAAAGTCAAACTAGTCCTAAGTCACATTTATATTTCTCTACACTATTTTCATTCAAATGGGTTAAATAAATTGTAGATAAAACACAAACATTCATTTTATGTAGTAAAATAATTGTATATAATCTAAAAAGAATGACAAAATATGCATTGTACTGCATCAGTTCTGGGAACTTTTCACCCCACCAGTGTGGTTATCTTTCTTTTTAAAAAACAATTAATTTTTGTGTTTTTTCCTAAGAGCAGATGGTCGTAATCACAAAAGATGTAAGTCAAAGAGAAGGTGTACTTCATTTTGACATGTTTGGAGTAGCAATTTACATGTGTGCCTTTGGTATACTCAAACATTAAAACGTTTGGGGCCTGCGTGGTCCACCTCGAGTGCTAGAGGTTCTGGGTTCAATTCCCAGAAAGGGCTGGGATTTTTTCATGTGGACTTGGACTTCAAGTAATTTCCCCTGGTCTCTGTCTGGGTAGTGAGATCGGACGCCCGTGTGCATTACTGCGCACATAAAAAATTCCTTGGCAGTTGGAAATCGAAAAGAGTAGCCTAACGGCGCTGCCCGGGCAAAATTTGGAGTTAAAAATCTACCCAAAGAATAGCAGGATCCTCGCCGGTGCTACAGAGCCTGTGCTGAGCTTCTTCAGACTCAGACTTGAGTTAGAAGAAGAAGAACGGAGCACTTATGGGTTACAATTTGTGTGCCATGATGTTGATTCACTGTTCAAAATTTAAACTTCAAACAGTGAAAAAAATAAATAAATAAACAGCCCTGAAAATGCACTTTGGTGAAAATCACAACAAGTGGAGTTAGGTGACTCTCACGTAGTGCTGGGGATGTCATGTTTCTTACAGGGACTCCGCTGGCAGACACTGTCACGTAGTGCTGGGGATGTCATGTTTCTTATAGGGACTCCGCTGGCAGACACTGTCACTAGGGGTTTTACGTGCTAGGTGTTCACATATTCTAAGCCTCGTTTGAGGTGGGGTTGCCAGTCTCTATCCTTTCCGGAAAATTTTGAAAATTATATGGTCCCAATTTTTATAAGCTTTTATTAAGTTTTGTTTTGTTATCAGAACGGGCCGATCAAGAACCCTGTTTG